AAAATTTTTTAAATAATTCATTTCTTTCGAATAATTTTATGCAAATTCTAATTTAAATAATTGAATTGATGAAAATTTTTATTATTCATGAAAAGAATTGAATTCTTACGAAAATTTTTACAAAACAATTTCTTAAATAATTGAATTCTGTTTGGAAATTTTATGAAAACAGTAAATATTGAAAATCATTGAATTGCGAAAAGTTTTTAAAGATAATTAAATTTCACAAAGAATTCTATTTAAAAATTTGGTAATAATTAAATGTCCGTGGGAAATTTTATTAAATTTATTTTGATAATAATTGAATTCCTAAAAAAACATTTTTATTTATTTATGAAAATAATTGAATTCTTGCAAACGATTTATTAGAATTTATTAATATAATGGAATTTCCAAAAAGAAATTTATTACTTTTAAAAATAATTGAATTATTGTGATGAATATTGTTATTTATGAAAATAATTGTGAAAAGAATTTTAATAAAATATCTCAAAATAATTGAATTTTCGTGAGTAATTTTGTTATTTATCTTTAATAATTGAATTCTTCCGAAAAATTATTTGTGTAAATAATTGAATTCTTAGAAAAAAATGTAATTAAAATAGAAAAAAATAATTGAATTATTTTAAAAAAATGTAATTCAAATTGTATTTAAAACAATTAATTTCTTTCGAATAATTTTAATAAATTTTTGAAAATAATTATTAAATCCTTCTAAAAAATATTAAAAAACCATTTTTTTAAATAATTCATTTTTTCGAGGAATTGAAATTAAGTTTTTAAGAATAATTATATTTTTTGAGCAATTCCTGTAAAATTGTATTAAAAATAATTGAAATCCTGCTATGAATTTTATTATTTATAAAAATAATTAAACAGTTGCCAAGAATTTTATTATAATTCTCAAAAATAATTGAATTACAGAAAAGAATTTTATTATTTTTGAAAATAATTGAATTATTGCGGAAAAGTTTATTAAAATATTTAAAAATAATTGAATTTCAGTAAAAAATTTTATTATTTTTGAAAGTATAATTGAATTCTTCATAAGAATTTTATGAACATTGTTTTAAATAATTAATTTTTTCGAATTTTTCCTCGTATACATGAAAGTTTAATTATTTTCAATTTTGAAAATCTGATTTAAAAATTTGAAATTAGTGTCAAAATTTGTTAAAGTTTTTTTTTTATAAAGTTTAGAAATTAATAATAATAATTGCAAACATCAACTTGGGTGGGATTTTGTCTGCATTTTTCTTTCCTTTTATTTGAACAGACCTCTTAAAAGATTCACGTTAAACTGCGACTCGGAAGCGATACGATGTAGGGAATTAGGATATCGAGAGAGAGAGAGAGAAGAGAGTAAGTTCTTTGGAAAATACGTGAGGAGAAAATTTTCATCGTGGAAATTCAGACCATCAATGTTACCACTGGTGTTGCCCATGACCACGAGTGACACTCGAGAGTCGTCGGTTAAACTGAAATTCAACTCTCAACGACCGCGACGACGGTCACAGACCTTCGAAATTTGGTACTCCTCTGATTTGTAGCACTTTGGAAATTAACGCTCTGCTGGTTAAACTCAAACTGTAATCTAAATGAGAGACGATGAGCTTCAACTTAAATTTAACTTGAATTTTTTTTTAAACTTGTTATATACGTTAGCCTCATTAAGAGGAGCATTTTAACTGCACTGATAAACAGAAGCACTTTTTTTTTCAAGAACCGAAACAATCTTTCCATTCTTTTACCGCATATATTCTTTCGAGAAATTATCTCCTTTCGACTGCAGAATTTCTTCTTTTTTTGTTAATACTTTCTTTACTTTTATTACATTACCAAGGCTCGAACTAGGTCCCTAAATTTGCTAGGTCCGTAAATTTGCTTCAAGTCCGTAAAAGTCAGTTTTTTTTGCAAAAAGGTCCCTAATTTGATTGAAAAAGAACAAAAAGTTCGTAAATTGTACGAGATAATTTTGGAAATTTTGTAAAAATTAGAAATGATTGTAGAAATTCAACGAAATAAATTTTAAGTTTAAAAATAGTTTTAAAACTTAAAAAAGTTCTGTTTTCAAATTCGAGTCTAAAATTGAAGAATATTTGTAAAAAAAAAAGTTAAACACTTTTCATTCTTCGACATCTCGTCCTTTTCACATTCCTGCATCCTAAGAAATAAATTGTTTAACTATAATCTCGTTTGAGGAATTGAAACGTAAAAGGACAGGACTAAATACATACAGTTGCACACTAAGATACTTGGAACCGTAAATTGCTGTGGAGGAAACTACAATCAACTAAACCCTCTCAGAAGCTTAGGTATAACTAAGATAGAAACTCACTACAATTTAGTGACATGAATCTAAACCATTTCAACAAATCAACATAATCTTCCCAGAAACAGTTACGTCCCATCAAACCTTCATTTAACTCAAAAATATTCCAGTAATTTTCTTTTCACTGTCTCGCAGAAAAAATTATTAGAAATAAAGTACAATTTCAATTCTCATTCGCTTAATTTTTTCCCATTATTCCAGGGAAGAAATAGATGACTCCGGAGTCATCTATTTCTTCATGTTTTATAGTTATGAAAAATTTAATTTACATGGCTCGGATCGTCTTTAAGACTCAAAAAAAGTCGCTTTAGTCGCATAGATTCACAACAAAAGTCACGAAAAGTCGCATAAAATTTCCAATAAAAGTCGCATGTAATTTTAGAGAAAACGCCATAAAGGAAACACGAAATTGTCAAAATTGTAAAAAAAAGTCATATTTCTCGACAACACATACTTTAATATCAAACAATCCGGAATAACATTTAATAAAATTTAATAAAATTCATAGCAAAATTTTAATTAGGTATTTTTAACATTTTTTTAAAAAATCTGTTTTTCTCTTCAAACTTTAATAAATAATAAAATTCATCAGGGAAATTTAATTATTTTCAAAAGTTCTCATAAAATTCTTTGCAAAATTCAATTATTTTCAGAAGTAATAAAATTCTTCGCTAGAATTTCAATTATTTTCCAAATTTTTTTTTAAATTCTCCTCAAAATTTCAATTATTCTTATAAATATCAAAATTTTTCTGCAAAATTCAATTACTTTTAAATATTTTTAAAAAAAAAATTTTTCAAAATTTCAATTATTTTTATAAATAATAAAATTCTTCCCTATGAAATTCCATTATTTTCAAAGAATTTTAATAAAATTCTTGTCAAAATTTCAATTATCTTTATAAATAATAAAAATCATCCTATATTATTTTCAATTTTTTTTTTTAATTCTCGTCAAAATTTTATATAAATAATAAAATTCATCATGGAACTTGAATTATTTTTAAAATTTCTGATAAAATTGTTTGCAAAATTTAATTATCTTCAAAAGTAAGAAAATTCTTCGCAGAAATTGAATTATTTTCAAAATTTTATTTAAAAATTCTTCTCAAAATTTCGATTATTTTTAAAAATATCAAAATTCTTCTTCAAAATTCAATTACTTACTAATGTTTTATAAATTTCTTCTCAATAATTCAATTATTTTAATAAAAAATAATTCAATTATTTTCAAAGGTAATAAAATTATTTGCAGAAATTCAATTATTTCCGAATTCTTTTTTTAATTTCTCGTCAAAATTATTTTTTAAGAAAATAATTGAATTATTGAGAAGAAATTTATAAAACATTAGTAAGTAATTGAATTTTGAAGAAGAATTTTGATATTTTTAAAAATAATTGAAATTTTGAGAAGAATTTAAAAAAAAAAATTTGAAAATAATTCAATTTCTGCGAAGAATTTTCTTACTTTTGAAGATAATTAAATTTTGCAAACAATTTTATCAGAAATTTTAAAAATAATTCAAGTTCCATGATGAATTTTATTATTTATATAAAATTTTGACGAGAATTTAAAAAAAAATTGAAAATAATATAGGATGATTTTTATTATTTATAATAAGATAATTGAAATTTTGCATACAATTTTATCAGAATTTTTAAAAATAATTACATTTCCATGATGAATTTTATTATTTATAAAGATAATTGAAATTTTAAACAGATTTTTTTAAAAATGTTCAAAATTTTTACATTTTTACATTTTGAACATTTTTAAAGAAACCTGTTCAAAATTTCAATTATCTTTATAAATAATAAAATTCATCATGGAAATGTAATTATTTTTAAAAATTCTGATAAAATTGTATGCAAAATTTAATTACCTTCAAAAGTAAGAAAATTCTTCGCAGAAATTCAATTATTTTCAAATTTTTTTTTTTAAATTCTCCTCAAAATTTCGATTATTTTTAAAAATTTCAAAATTCTTCTTCAAAATTCAATTATTTTTCAAAGTAATAAAATCCTTCGCCGAAATTCAATTATTTTCAAAAGTTTTTTTCAATTCTCGTCAAAATTACAATTATTTTTCTAAATAAGAAATTCAATCTCTGAAATTCAGTTATTTTCAAAAATTTTAATAAAATTTAAATTCTTAGCAAAATTTCAATTAATTTCATAAAAAATAATTCAATTATTTTCATAAAGAATAATTAAAAAAAATTTTTATTTATAAAGTCTTAGAATATAATATAATGATTTTATCACTCGGTCACCTTTAATTATTGTAGAACATGAAGACATCGATTGCTCCGAGTCGAAGACTCGGAGGGATCGATTTCTTCATGTTTTATAACAATTTTTTATAAATTGTTTAATTTCAAAAAGTTTTGAATTTGAATCTTTTAAAGAATTTTAATTCCAATGGAAAAATAATAATTAAATATTTATTCAAAAAACAAGTTATTGATGTTTTCGAAAAATTTGAAAGAAATTTGTAAATAAATGTAAGTCGAAAAAAGTCACACAATCCGAGCCCTGAATTTATAGTTTCAAGTAAAATTAAAATTTAACTTTCTTACAACTATGAATTATAATTTTCGAAACAGAATTCGAAACTAGTTGTGTAAATGCACAAAATATGAAAGAAAATAACAATAATTATGTCCTACCTTTTTCGTCGTGTAGAGTTTGCGACCAAAAAGTAACATGTCAGACTTTTTCCATGTATTGCAACCATCCTCTCTCAGCCATACTGTACTAAACACTTGAGGGCACTCACTATCATCACGAGATAAATAATGCTGAAAAATAAGAAAGGAAAATTATAAGATATATAAGTTTTTCGCATGAATAAAAAACAAAAGTGGGGAAAAAAAGAATTTGTTCTTACCCTTAAAACGCTTTCGGCATCAGCTAACGTCCCTCTATCATCTTCTTGTGGGAAAGCAACCATTTCAGGGGGAAAGAATTGCTGAAACAGAGAAAATACACATTCTCGTGATATATATGGAAAATACTTAAATAACTGTTTTCTTATTTAAAATCTTACATGCAACTTGTTGTTTTTTCCAATTCTTTTTTTTCGTAATTTTTCGCGAATTTACTTTTCCCTCTTGCAATATCATTAAAAAAATATAACATTCGTTTTTTCTTTGTTCGTTTTTTTTTTAAACATGAAGAAATCGATAACTCCGAGTCTTCAACTCGAAGTCATCGGTTTCTTCATGTTTTATAATAATTAATGATAATTATTAATAAAAATAATTTATAATAATTAAAATCATTATCAATTCAATTATTATTTTTAAGAATTTAAAACTAAAATTCTTCGATTATTTTTTTAAATTTTCGAAAAAGTTCTTTGACAATTTTCAAATTAATTTCTTAACAATATTCAATTTTACGAAATTTCAATTATTCGTAAATTCTTTAATTAAATAAATATTAGAAAATAGAAACTAAAAATAATATTAAAAAAACTCATTTAAACTTTTTCAAAAAAATTAATTACAAAATTTAATTACCTATTTTTTTAAATTCACGCTATTATTGCTTTTAATATTCAATTATTGTCTAAAATTTTAAATAAAATTCATTTTTATAAAATGAAAATCAAATTTTTATTAGAAAATTGTACTAGAATTCAATTATTTAAATACAAATAAAATGCAAATAAATAATTTATTGAATAATTGACCGTTTCTTAAAATTCAATTCCCATAAAAAATCGTTATCAACAAATTTTCAAATAATTGAATTCTAGCAACGAATTTTAATAAAATTTTTAAGAATAATTGCATTTTTCAAGAAATTTGATTAAAAATTGTATTAAAAATAAATAAAATAATTGAAGTTCTGCATTGAATTTTATTATTTATGAAAATAATTGAATTCTTGCGAAGAATTTAAATTAAAATTTTCAAAAATAATTAAATTCTTGTAAAAAATTAACAGGAATTCAATTATTTTTAAAAAATTTTTAATCAAATTCTTGGCATAAATAAAAAATAACAAAATTCTTAGCAGATCTTCAATTACTTTCAGAAATTTTAATAAAATTTTTCGCAAGAATTTAAATATTTTCGTAAAATAATAAAAATCTTTGCTGAGATTCAATTATTTTCAAAAGTATTAATAAAATTCTTCGCAAGAATTCTATTATTTTCAAAAATATCAAAATTTTAGCAGAAATTTAAACATTTTAAAAAGTTTTGATAAAACTTTTTTTGGTAGAAATTCAATTATTTTTAAGACAATTTTAAAAAAATGTCTCGATAAAATTCAATTATTTTTAAAATTTTAATGAAATTCTTCGAAAGAATTCAATTATTATAATCTAAGATTTTAACTGAAATCTATTTTTAAATCAATGTTTATGAGAAAATTCTACCAGAATTCAATTATTTAAATACAAAAATAAATAATTTATTGAATAATTGAATGTTTCTTGGAATTCAATTCCTCTTAAAAATTTTATCAACAAATTTTTAAATAATTAAATTCTTTGGACGAATTTTAATAAAATTTTTAAGAATTTTTTCGAGGAATTCGATTAAAATTCTATTGAAAATAATTGAATTCCTAAAAAGAATTTTATTATTTACGAAAATAATTAAATCCCCGTAAAAATTTTATTATTTATGAAAATAGTTGAATGATTGCGAAGAAATTTATGAAAAAAATTTGTTATAAAATAATAGATGTCAATGTTTTTTGGATTATTTAAATGTAGTATATGATGTTTTTGATTTTTGTTTAAAATATAATCTACTTATTTATTTCTCTTTTTTTTAAATTTGTTATTAATGAAATTCTTGTGAAATTTTTATTATTTTTTGAAAATAATTCAAAGTATTTGTAGAATTTTATTAAACTTTTTTTTAAATAATTAAATTCTTCTGGTAAATTTTATGAAAATAGTAGATATTGAACAATATTTAATTTTTGCGAAGAATATTAATAGTTTTGAAAATAATTGAAATTTTGCAATTGATTATTATTAAAATTTTTGAAAATAATTGAATTTTATTACTTTAGAAAATAGTTGAATTCGTGTGATAGATATTGTTAATTATGAAAATAATTGAAATTTTTTAAATGAATTTTAATAAAATTTTTGAAAATAATTGAATTTTTTCAAAGAATTTTTGCTATTTATTTATAAAGATAATTGAGATGTTGACCTTTTTTTTACAATTTTTTAAAAATAATTGAATTTCGGAGAATTTTAATATTTCTAAAAATAATTGAAATTTTGGTGAGAATTTAAAAAAAATTTTGAACATAATTGAATTTTTGCGAAGAATTTTATTACTTTTAAAAATAATTGAATTTCTGCAATCATTTATAATTTCTCTAAAATTCTCAAAATTACATATATCGTACAATTTACCAACTTTTCATCGTTTTTGAATGAAATTACGGACTTTACGGACCTTTTTCTCAAAAAACGGACTTTTACGGACTTGAAGCAAAGTTACGGACTTATTAAGGATTTACGAATCTACTTCGAGCCCTGTACATATTTTGCTACTTTTACATTCATTTGTGAGATGAGGGGAGAAAATAATCGTGTTCACAGGATGCACGTTTCACTTTCTAGTAGATTTAAAAAAAAAATTATACAACTTATGCTCCTAATGAGAAACAGGTTTTTCGCACATTTTATTCTTTTTTCGCATATTTGTACTTTGCTATTATTGTACTGTTAAACGCGTCATTTCAGTGACACGAGAGAGTATCCCTTTCAAAGAGATCCCGAGGGCGTAAGATGGAAAGCAATACCAGACAAGGACCAAAAAAAAAAAAAAAAAAAAAATGTGACTAGTTTTCTCCTGTACTTGCCTGCAGAAGACTGAGAAGACGTTACTTCAAGTTTGCCAAACAGACGGTCTCAGCAGTTTTAAGGAAGACTAAAAGCTATATAGACATAACAAAAAAAAAGTTACTAAAAAAAATCTAACAAAAGAAAAATTCTAAAAGAGAAGAGAGGTGTCGATTTGACGAAATGTACGAAAAAAAAAAGGATGAGAGAAGTGGAAAATACGAGTGAGGAAATCGTCACGTTTTTCTCGTCCATTAGTAAAATGAAAAATTTCTCTCTAGACTTTTAAGACAAAATGTAAAAAAATAAAAAAATGAACAGCTTATGTATATACGTATATCTATGAACTCAATTTTTCAACTGTAGTATTGTTCTCAAGAATTTAATTAACTTGGAATATTCTCAATTTGCAACTTGAGGGAAAAAATTAACGTAAAAAAAAATATGTACTCGAGTGAATACTACTTTGTTAGTGGACTAATTTTAATTAATTAGTTCGGAACTCCTTTGAGACTCGTTGCTTTAATAACTCGCAATATGGAACTAATAATGGACCTGTAAAAACTTTTCATTTAAAAGTTTCAACACGTAAACCTCCCATGGGCCTTGAAAGTTAAAAAAAAAAGTTTCAACTATCTCAGCATTTAATATTTGTACCATGCAAAACTTTTATACGACATGACCAAAGTTACATGAAGAACAAGGATAATTCTTAACTGGTTTTAATAAAATAAATAATTTACGAAAATGCCTGGCAAAAATAGTACTTTTCTCAAATAAAAATAGAAACAATTCAAGAATACCACCAGTCAAAATAAACAATTTTTTCTAATTTTAATAAAGTCCTTTTAATATTCAAAATATCAAAAATATTAAATTTCAGAAATATCAAAAATTTATAATAATTATCTAATCTCATTGCTGATTAATCATTAAATTCTAGACATTCATGAAAAATCGTCGAAAGAAACTTTTACTTGTCAACTAATTCTTAATTACGAAGTTAATTAAAACTATCAAGTTTCTCATGTTTTAAGCAAATAGCTTAGCTATTTGCAATTCAATTTTTTTTTCTCCAAAGAAGAAAAATCAATACCATTTTGAGGGATTTGAAGAGTAACGCCCTCATTGATAAGGAATTGAAATTGCAACAAACTTTAGCGAAATGTCGATAATTCCAACAGTCGGTAATGTAGAAAGGCCAATAAAAAAAAGTTGGGTGAGTTATCGTGCGTAGGTTTATTACCTGCAGTGGACTATGTACCGACATGAGAGAGTAGAATTGTTGGTAACTTATCCAGTAATGATAAAGTAGGAAACAAAGGGAAATGTTGATAAGTACACTGTTTTCTACTTTATCAACATTAGTTCACTGCCTGTACTTTAGATACTATTTACATTCAAAAATTCAATAGTTCTCTATTTTTCGTCTACTTTTCTTTAATTCAAATTTGTGATAAATATTAAAAATTCATCTCACCTTGGGATTAATGAAGAACTCGTACTTCAAATAATCTTCACGGAAAAAGAATTTTCTTTCGTGATAAGAGGCGAACATTTCAATTTCTCTGTGCGTTGCAAGAATATCTTCATGATCTTCTAGTGTGCGTTCTGAAAGAATAAAAATTAGATATTTAAATTAATTTTATCTTTACTACACTCGAAAAAAAATTCTGGTTAATATTACTACAGATGCATCTCATTAAAAAATTTCTAGTTAAAATTAGCAATTTTTAAAATTTTCAAATTTTCTAATTTAAATTTTTGTTGAAAACAATAAAAAAATTCAATTTTGGAGAAATTACAAAGAATTGCAGAAATTCAATTCATAGGAATTAAATTATAAAAAATAAAATTCTTATAATATTCAACTAATGTTCAAAATTTGAATAAAATTCTCGTAAAAATCCCAATTATCTTTATAAATAACAAAATTCTTCTCCAAAATTCAATTATTTTCAAAAAATGTAAAAAAAAGGTCAACATCTCAATTATCTTTATAAATAAAATGCATTTTTCTAATTTCAATGATTTTCAATATTTAGAATAACTTAATTAAAATTGTATTAAAAATAATTAAATTTCTCTAAAGAATTTTTGCGATGAACTTTATTATTCATGAAAATAATAATTTAACTATTATAAACAAATTTTGTAAAAATTGTAGAACATAATTAATTTTTTACAAAGAATATTTATTAAAATATTTAAATCATTGATTTCTTTTGAAAAAATTTCTTGATTTGAATTTTCACTTTGAATTTTATTAAATTTTTGAAAATAAGTAAATTAATTTGGTAAAATTTTGTGGAAATATTCAAAAATACGTAAAAGATTTTAAAGAATTAAATATTAAAATTGTATTGAAAATAATTGAATTCCTCTGAAGAATTTTATTATTTATAAAAATAATTGAATTCTTTCGAGAAATTTTATTAAAAATAATTGAATTCTCGCGATGAATTTTATTATTTATGAAAATAATTGAATTCTTTCGAAAAATTTTATCATTCATATCATTTAAATTTTGGCTTTGAATTTTAGTAAATTTTTTATAAATAATTGAATTCCTTTGAGAAATATTAAAATATGTAAATTTGTATATTTAAATAAATAAATAAGTAAAATAATAGATATTGAAAATATTTGAATTTCATTATTTGTGAAAATATAACTAAATTCTCGCAAAAGATTGTCGAAACATTTTTTAAATAATTGAATTGTGGCAAAGAATTTTATAAAAAAATTTCTAATTATTTCTAAGAAGAATTTTATTAAAATTTTCAAAAATAATTTCTTTATTCCAACTATTAGCGAATTTAAACTCGTGAAAATTCTCAAAAATAGGAAAAAGTAGCTTTTAGTGTCACAAATTTAAAAAATGTATCCAAATAGTAGCTAATTGTAAAAAAAAGTAGTAAATTGTAGGTTTTAATAGTTGAGTTTCTAATTTTAAAGATTTTCAATATCTACTATTTTAATAAAATTTCCCAAAAAGAATTTAATTATTTAAACAAAATTTTAATAAACTTGTATGCAAACATTTAATTATTTTCATAAATAATAAAATTTTTTTAAGAAATTCAATTATTTTCATGAAAAATAATTTAAAATTCTAGAAAATAATAATTATTGTAGTTAATTATAGTTAATTATAGTTATAAATATAATTCTTATTTATTATTATAGTTGAATTAAATCAATTTAGAATATTCTGACAAATATAACTAATATTTAATACTTTTCTTTAAGAAGAAATATTCAATTAAAAATAGAAAAAATTTTACGTTAAAATAGTACAAATCTTTTCATAATTCGAAATTAAATCGAGAAGCGAATCAAAATTCAATTAGTGAATAACGAAACAATATCTTTTTTTTAAGCATTTCGTAATTTTCTGATGGCTGATAATGAATTACGTTTTAATAAGCCCGCTAATTAAGTGTCACATATCGTAGCCCAGTTGTAAATAATGACTGGAAAAATTTCATTTTATGACTGTAAAAAAAAAAGTTTTCAGCCAATATAGAATAATTAAGCGATAAAACTTTTAGAAAATTTTGCTTAATTATTTTTAATCAATATTTACTTCTTTATGAAAAGTTTTTATAATATAAATTATCCATATAAAGTATATTTTGATAGGGAAAAAAAGTCTTCTTCTACCAAATTATTATCGAGCGCGTAATGTTCGAGAGATATAACTATTGCAATTAACAAATTTTGAGTTGTAGTTATTTAAAAAAAACTGGTTATTTCAAGTAAATTGTAACGTATAATTAACTATGTGTTCTTATTCACAACCAGTGAAAACTAGTTAATTCTACACATAATAATATTTACATTTGACAGTTTTCAATATATGTTTAAAATAGAGTAATCAGGTTATGTTTACATTTTCGAACTAGACAATTTTTAATTCTTTAGACCCCGCATCTATTGATTCTAATTCTAAAACTTTAAACTCCAAATTCTACGAGAATTCAATTATTTAAATACAAAAGTAAATTATTTATTGAATAATTGAATGTTTCTTAAAATTTTATTCTTATAAAAAATGTTATTGTTATTGTTAGTTAAAAATATGAAAAATACACATTATCAGAGATTCTACTGGAATGTAAATTATTTAAATACAAAAAAATATATTGAATAATTGCATGTTTCTTAAAATTCAATTCTCATAAAGAATTTTATCAATAAATTTTTAAATAATTGAATTCTTTTGACGAATTTTAATAACATTTTTAAAAATAATTACATTTTTCGAGGAATTTGATTAAAATTGTATTAAAAATAATTGAAATTCTGAGATGAGTTTTATTATTTATGAAAATAATTAAATTATATGTTTGCGTATAATTTTATTAAAATTTTTTTTAAACAATATTAGCAATAAATTTTTAAATAATTGAATTCTTTCGACGAATTTTAATAGAATTTTTAAGAATAATTACATTTTTCGAAAAATTCGATTAAAAATGAAACTCTTCGATGAGTTTTATTATTTCTGAAAATAATTGAATTCCTAAAAAGAATTTTATTATTTACGAAAATAATTGAATCTCTGTAAAAAAATTGTAAAGTTTATGAAAATAATGGAATTATTACGAAGAAATTTATAACAAATTTGTAAATAATTGAGTTCTTTGTAAATAATTGAATTCATTTGAATTTTTATTATTTATGAAAATAATAATTTAATGATTTCGTAGGATTTTATCAAAATTTGTTTTAAACAATTGAATTCTTTGGAAAATTTTTATTAAAATACTAGATATTGAAAATCATTGAATTGAGGAAAATTTTTGAAAATAATTTTAATTTGGTGAAGGATTTTATGAAAATTTTTTTAAAATAATTGAATTTTGGAGAAGAATTTTATTATTTATAAAAATAATTGAAATTTTGACGAGAATTTTTAAAATTTTTTTAACATAATTGAATTTTTGCAATCTGAAACAATTGTAACTTCTTCAAAATTCAATTTTTTTTAGTGTTTTTAACTAAAATTTTTCCATAAATACATTATGTTTAATAATTAATTAAACATATATATTTACAAATTTAACTAATTAAATTATAGAAGATTTTGAATTATTAAAATTTTTCAAAAATTTAAGTTCTTTAAAATTTCTTATTAAATTCATTCAAAATTAAAATTTTATATAAATTTCAAATTAAAACCTTTTAAAGTTCATTTATAAAAATTATAAACGCAACTCTTTTAAAATTGAATTAATTTTGAAATATTTCAGTAAAATTATTCTTTAAATAATTTCTAAGTAATAATTTTATGATATAGATGTCCACGAATAAAGTTATTTAAAAAGAAATTTTTGTCAGAAATTTAAAAAAAATTGAAGGTTTTGTTTTGTATTAGAATTCGTAGTAATTTTATAATTTGAGTCAAACAAAAAAGACAAAAATTCAGAATGTTCTTATGAATTCTAATAATTTATTTTTTTTCAGTAATTTTAATAAAAATATCTGACTTTTCCCTGAATTCCCTGTGTCAGAATATATGATTATAGTTATAATAAAATTAAAACTACATTCCAATTCATATTTTATTTTTATGAAAATAAATTTGAATTACAAATTTTTACGTTTTATTATTTTCTAAAATTGCACCAAGTTGAAGTCCACAACGTTGATCAACGAATAAAAATTGTTCACTAGGTAAATTAATTAAAAATTACGCAGCAATATTGACACAAAAAAATTTTGAAAAAAAAGATTGATGTTTATGTTCTGATAATAATTATTTTACGATTAAATATTAAATTAAAAATAAAACTTGATTGCATTAATAAATGTTTTTTCGTTGATCAACGTTGTGGACTTCAACTTCATAAAATTGCTAATTTCATTTTAAAAAAGTGAGTAAAAAGTGAGTATATAATTGTTGCTATAGTATCAGCTAGTATATAATAATAATCGATGAAAACAACAGTGGATGAACACTTAATTATTATAAAGAATTTACTATAACTTTTCATAATTTTCACACAATTTGATAAAAGGAATCTTTTACATGATAAAAAAATATTATAAAAAATAATTATAAAAAAAATTATAAAAAAAGTATTAAAAAAAATTATAAAATTAATCACTATTTAATAAAATATATTGATACTTGATTTTATTTTAATAAATGATATATTTTATTTTAATATGATTCAACTGTTATATGAAAATGAAATTTGGGTGAAAAATGAAAAAGAGATTGTTGGTCGATTATTGAAAAATGATATTGAAAATAATTTATTAATTTTTTATTGGCAAAACAATGTAAATGAATTACCAAGGGCAAACATTTCTGACTCGAGCTGATATCAATTAACATAGTTTGACTGATATTTATGTTCAATTTGCTAAGCGATACTTCGCCGGAAGCTCATCATATTCATAAGACTATAATATACACCACCACTAATCGCGTCAGGCATGGACATTATGATAGAGCATTGCTTCCACACTTTGCCGCATTTTCTTATACTTCGAGACAACCGGTTTTCTATTTATTCCTACATTCATCCATAACCTTACGGGACTAGAGCTTCAAGTTCATGTAAAACACTATAAACAAAACAGTCATGCTCCTTTTT